CACGGTGGCTAGTAGTATATTCGCAAGAGTATTACCGACAAAGACAAGGGAGACTAGAATGGTCATTTTTGGCTAATTAATTGTCGCCAGTGAGCAATACCAAAACTCGGGCGGTGCAACACCTGAGGCTCGAACCCACAATCTGTTGATTCAGCCGCGTGGCCGTTGTCTTGCCGGTTTCGACTAAGAATATCAATGTTGGTGGATTGACGCTCACTGATCACTTACAGGACCCATTCGTTCCGTTTCAAAATGGACTTTTTAGATAGACGTGAGTTTTGTGTAGGTTATCAATTATCCCGAAGGCACTAGCTTCGACTATTTATCCAACTGTTTGATGGAGCATATCGAAGCGCAACATTTTAGGTCCTGCATTTTAGCATACAAGCACCTCATATCTGAGGCAAGTCGGGATATCCAACTGTTGCTTTCATGCTTTTTAAAATAAATAATAATCCATTCAACATTTCCGGCTTATTAAGCAGTATTAACTGGCCACGCCCAACCTTCTTTTGAATATAGTTAGTTACCGACAATCAATACATTGGAAACCATCCTCATCGTCCATCCTTATTGTCATTCCGCATTCTTGGTGGTTAATTTTACGACTACCATGGAGACTTTAGACCGTAACTTTAGGAAAACCCAAGAACACTCCACGTACTGTAATTATATCGGTGGACGCCGTACCACTGTAGATTTAGAAGACCATCATAGCGCACTGAAAGACAGTATCTGATGCCGACGGTAAGTAATAATCCAGAAGAGTACCTTATGAACCTTCCCGGGTGCAATGAGGTTTCTCGCGATCTACCGGTAAAGGATTACACGAGTTAATTCTAACTGGTATCGAGTAATTCAACTTGAGATTACGAGGACGTATTTTGGCTAATCTTTGACCCAATTACCTATTTCATCTGATGCCTGCATAATTATTCTTCAGCAAATATCGCATCAAATGACTCATCGACGATACATAACTATACAAATAATTCGGAATAGCGTTAGCAGAAAGTGTCAGGGTGTCCAATCTTCACAAAATAAGTAGAAGCTCGGGT